CTGTGAGCTGTGTGACGCCACGGTACTCTACCAAGGGTGACAAAGTGAGACTCTGTCTCTACCAAAAAAAAAAAAACTTAACCTTGGGCTCGGGGCCTGTAACTCAGCGGATAAGGCGCAGGCCACATACACTGGAGCTAGAAGGTTTGAACCCAGCCAGACCTCCCAAACAGCAATGACAATTGCAACAGCAACAACAAAAATAGCTGAGTGTGGGCGGCACCTTTGGCTCAAAGGAGTAGGGCGCTAGTCCTATATGCCGGAGGTGCCGGGTTCAAGCCCAACCCCAGCCAAAAACTGCAAAAAAAAAAAAAAAATGTTGCTGGGTGTTGTGGCAGGTGCCTAGAGTCCCAGCTACCTGGGAGCCTGAAGCAAAGAGAACCGCTTAAACCCAAGAGTTTGAGGTTGCTGTGAGCTGTGACATCACAGCACTCCACATGGGGCGATGTAGTGAGCCAGTATCTCAAAAAAAACAAAAACAAAAAAACTGGATTCCCACTAGGTGGCGGTAGTACCTACACCACCACCCCACTCCTCCCATCTATATGTCTCAAGATAGTGTCCAGGGCAGGAGTAGTGGCTTACAACTAATAATCCTAGCTGAGGTGGGTGCACTGCTTGAGCTCACAGGTTCGAGAACAGCCTGAGCAAGAGCGAGACCTTGTCTCTAAAAATAGCTGGGCATTGTGGCGTGTGCTTGTAGTCCCAGCTATTTAGGGGGCTGAGGCAAGAGAATTGCTTGAGCCCAGGAATTTGAGGTTGCTGTGAACTAGGCTGCCATGGCACTTTACCAAGGGTGACAAAGTGAGACTCTGTCTCCAAAAAAAAAAAAAAAGAAAAGATATTGTTCAGTGTCCCCTGGAAGGGCAAAATCACCTTGGACTGGAATCAGTTGCCCTAGTGCAATGCCTTTCAAAGGTAGTGGGCAGTACAGAGATTGTTTCAAGTCTCGGATGGAGCACAGAAAACTGGTTTTATTATAAACATCTCCTCCCCTATACCCACTGCTACCATTCTGATCCATGTGACATGTGACTTGAGGACTACACTTTCATAAACACAGCACTACCGTGTTTCCCCAAAAATAAGACACTGTCTTATATTTATTTTTTCTCAAGAAGACACATTAGGGCTTATTTTCAGGGGATGTCTTATTCTCTGCTCAATATGCAGGGCGTGGCTATGCAGATAGGCTGGATCTGCATAGCCATGCCCATCACTAGGTCTTATTGGGGTAGGGCTTATATTTAACAAATGCATAGAAATCCTGCTAGGGCTTATTTTTTGAATAGGTCTTATTTTGGGGGAACAGTAGATATATTACTAGGAAGAAGCTTAAGAGTAAGTAAATTGAGCTTGCTTTTTCTACCATCTGCCTTAAGAAAGGTTCCTTTGCCCCAGCATGGTGGCTCACACGTGTGATCCTAGCACTCTGGGAGGCCAAAGCCAGTGGATCACCTGAGCTCAAGTTGGAGACCAGTAAGAGCAAGACCAAGACTCTGTCTTTACTAAAAATAGAAAAACTAGCCAGACGTTGTGGGCGCCTGTAGTCCAGTTACTTGGGAGGCTGAGGCAAGAGAAGCTCTTGAGCCCAAAAGTTTGAGGTGGCTGTGATCTATAAGCACTTTACTTAGGGCAACCAAGTGAGACTGTCTCCAAAAAAAAAAAAAGAAGAAGAAGAAAAGAAAGGCCTTTTATAAATAATGGGAAGGTTGAAGTTTGCCAGCAGACAAAGGACTAATTTCCACTTTGTTTTTATATGTTATGTATCACTGTTTTAACCAGGTCATGGCAGTACTCTTTCTGATCTGTTTGCTGGAACTATCTAATTAACATCTTCACTCCACAGCCCTTTCCCTGGGGAGATGGTAACCATACTCTATTCCACAACCCTCACGTGAATCCACTTCCAACTGGTTATGAAGATGAATAAAGAGAACCTAGACCACTACCCAGACATTGGGGACCACAGCATCAGTTTGGACCATTACTCTGCACATGGACCAGAGAAAGTGTACGGGACCTTAAGTTCACCTTCTTTTATCATATGATTACCAGTCTTCCATCCCTTTACTTGTGGCAGGAGATGGCTTAAATAAATAAACTAAGATTGGTCATAAGCTGAAAATTACATTATTTGTTTGTGATTTTCCTCAGAAATTAGCATTAATGTTTTCTGTTTCTGCAGTAAGGGCCTGTGGCTGCTGTTTATGGCATTTCAGGTCCAATCCACTACACTGAATGACAGCATTTGTAGCAGCCCCCTTGGTTTCCTGTGCCTGATGTGGGTAAAGTTAGGGACCAGAAGTACAGTAGAACTAATTATCAAAATTGGGTCCTTGATAGATGTTGGATTCAAAGAAGCTGCGTGGCCAAAGAATGGCTTCAGTTTACACCAGAAAGAGGTAACTGTGGCTGGGTGCCCATAGTGCAGTGAGTAGGGCGCCAGCCACATACACTCAAGCTGGCAGGTTTGATCCCAGCTCAGGCCTGCTAAACAACAGTGACAACTGCAACCAGAAAATAGCCAGGCATGGGCGGTGCCTGTGACTCAAAGGAGTAGGGTGCCAGCCCCATATGCCAGAGGTGGCGGGTTCAAACCAACCCCTAGCCAAAAACTGCAAAAAAACAAATATAGCAAGGCATTGTGGTGGGGACCTATAGTCCCAGCTACTCGGGAGGCTGAGGCAAAAGAATTGCTTAAGCCCAAGAGTATGAGGTTGCTGTGAGCTGTGACACCACAGTACTCTACTGAGGGTGACACAATGAGACTCTGGAAAAAAACAAAACAGGCATCTGTGATTCTCTATAGGTGCTTCCTCTGGGTCTTTCTCTCGTCTTGTTCACCAAGGAATCTCTGAAATCAGATAACTCTCTAAATGTGTCAGGTTCTTACCTTTTCAGGACCCTGAAGGCTGGCTGGGTTAGAATCTTTGGAGAAATAAAGGCAGTGTGACACATTTCTTTCTACAGTATTAGCTTTATTTGTTTCTGGAATTAAAAACTATCCTGTAGCCATAAGAGTTAGACAGAAAAACAGTATTAATTACAAAATCACCCTGGAAAGGCAATTAATTTCTTATTAAAACTTGAAACCTTTGAAGTAGCTGAGGTAGTTGGAATTACTTCATGATGATGATGAAATGAAAATTGAGGAATGGCTTGGTGCCTGTGGCTCAAGTGGCTAAGGCGCCAGCCACATATACCTAAGGTGTCGGGTTTGAATCCAGTCCGGGCCTGCCAAACAACAATGATGGCTGCAACCAAAAAATAGCCAGGCGTTGTGGTGGGCGCCTGTGGTCCCAGCTACTTCGGAGG